CATAAATAACATCAATGTGACATGGACAACCCTCATGCTCACTAAATAAGGCAACAAAGCCCAACAGAGTCTTAAGTCATATAACTATGTAAAGACAATAAACATAATCAGCATCCAATCATAGCAGTATAATCAGCATACAACAGTCAACTAAGCTCCGGCCTCCTGCCGTCCGAAGTCTCAACCCCCGAGGTACCTGAACTTGAAAATGTTCCCCAAACGTGGGGTAAGATCTCTAAAAATAAATCTCAGTAAGACAAGGAGTCTAAAAGACTCTTTCTCCCCAAGCTCACTTACAAGTATAATATAAGTTCAAAAACAGTAATTTCAGTGCATGTTCATGTTAAGGCATTTAATTCATGACAATATAATCTTTTGCTCAACGAGCGAAATACTACAACTCAGTAATCATGTGATGTATGCAAATGCAGTTCAACTGGCCAGGGAACAAGATAGGGATTATGCACGTTTGCGACCTATCTAAACATAAGGGTCGCGGCCTTATGCCTTACACACCAGAGTCGCAGTTTGATCGTGTAAGTATCAACATCACTTTCATACATTACAACAACAGTTAACTTAACATATCTCAGGCATATATCAATGCACATTTCATCTTTCATAAAAGCATACATGCATATAAACCACCCTTCCATGGAGGTCAATGGAACAAGCAACAGATCAATCCGAGGACACGAAAGCTTACCTTTCAAGCTATCAATCCACAATTGAGTCCACAACAGTCCAAGATCCAAAAACAGCACAATTACAATCTGTTTAGACCAGTAACATCATCGATAACCATAATCTAAGAGTTCATGATACAATGACAACGTTCTCTTTATCGTTTCATGCCATTAGGCTTCTTCTAAAGCCAAAAGCCTTTAATCCCTTTGATTCTGACTTCGTTAATTATTACAGAGGTTCAACATAACCAATCGTGGGTCCACAAACCCAAAAATATCGTTCTGTATGAACAGAACAGTGCACCACTCGCACTTCTCCAGAATATAAGTTCAAAAACAGTAATTTCAATGCATGTTCATGTTAAGGCATTTAATTCATGACAATATAATCTCTTGCTAAACGAGCGAAATACTATAACTCAGTAATCATTTGATGTATGCAAATGCGGTTCTACTGGCAGGGAACAGGATAGAGATTATATACGTTTGCAACCTATCTTATGCCTTACACACCAGAGTTGCAGTCTAATCGTGTAAGTATCAACATCACTTTCATACTTTACAACAACAATTAACTTAACATATCTCAGGCATATATCAATGCATATTTCATCTTTCATAAAAGCATACATGCATATAAACCACCCTTCCATGGAGGTCGGTGGAACAAGCAACATATCAATCTGAGGACACGAAAGCTTACCTCTCAAGCTATCAATCCACAATTGAGTCTACAACACTCCAAGATCCAAACACAGCACAGTTACAATCTGTTTAGACCAGCAACATCATCGATAACCATAATCTAAGAGTTCATGATACAATGACAACGTTCTCTTTATCGTTTCATGCCATTAGGCTTCTCCCAAAGCCATAAGCCTTTAATCCCTTTGATTATAACTTAGTTAATTATTACAGAGGTTCAACATAACCAATCGTGGGTCCACAAACCCAAAAATACTAGTCTGTATGAACAGAACAGTGCACCACTCGCACTTTTCTAGAATATCTGGATATTTGTTGGGGCCATATCCGGATATTCATATCCGGATATCTCCAACCCCATATCCGGATATCAATATTTGGATATCATATCCGGATATTTCGCGACAGAATGCAGTTTCTGCATTTCGCGAAGATATCCATACAAGACTCAACCTTTAACTCATATTAACGTCCAAGCATGCATTTTTATACACATTTAGGTTCATGTTCATGTTGGTTATCTATACAACTCATTTTACATGCCAAGACTCTTCTTTTAATATAGAAACTCATGATTAAAGGTTCAAGACATATCCAATGTTCAAAACAGAATAAAAGGGTGCTCTTGGAGCTCTCACTGCAGCTCCACAAGTCTGACTTTCCCCAACCACGAAAAAGAACAACAAGGTTAGCTCTTTCTTCACAAAGTTCACCACTTGGAGCTTCCACAACCAAGGAAATGACTCACTCTTCCCTTAGCCAAGAAGTCATCTCTTTCCCTACCCTAACAGTGGCTGAACATTTAGAATATGGTGTCACTCTACCTCCCAAGGCTTGCTCACAAGTGTCTACTAAGATTAAAGATGAAAAATTCAAGAAAAAGAGGTGGCTCATACAAGGAAGGCCATGAGATGGTAAGAAGAGGTTCAGCAGCCAAGGGTCATACATAGAATCTGAGTATGGCCTAGGGTTTTGGGCCAAAATGTGTATTTATAGCGCGTTTAAGTTTAAACACACTGTATTAGCACTAATAGCTACGCTTATCATTTTAATCCCAAACTTTGGATTCAGTACCTAGCCATTTTTCTAAGATTTTTTATATTTTTATTTTATTTTGCGCAACACTTTGCCGGTACACGCTTTTACGTAGCGAGTATCAGTTCTGACATCAAATCTCGTTATTTTGACTTCAAACTCGTTATAATAGTCCTATATATTATTCTAGTAATATATACACACTTTTCATAATTTTTCGGGATACTTCATTGGTACGCATTTATACCATGAGGCAGAATCGATATCTGCACTTTTTGTCAGAAAAGTGACTTTCAACATTAATACTTACTTACTATAATTATTTAAGCCTTCTCATAATTATTAGGGTCAATTATAGAATTATCTCATTAATCTCATAATTAATTAATTAAATTCCTAAATTAACAGTGCGGGTTCTTACAAAATCCAATTTGGAAATTGGATCTTGTGATATTTTGTTAATTGAACACTCCATGATTAAGGATAGTCTAGAGTAGAAATTGGGGATACGTCATAAATGAACTAGATTCAAGATTAAAGGATTAATTTGAGTTATTTAATTACTGGATTTAGAAAAATTAGTTAAGTGCTACAACACTCAATTTCGATTAAGTTAGGTGCTACAACATGTAAAACGCAATGATGTAAAATTTAAGGGAAAATCATCAAATTTGATATTCCAGTGCATAATAATTGAATCTTAATTGTTAGTAAACAGAGTCTTTTGTTTGATAAAAACCTGATTTGCAATTTAATTACTGAATTTTGTCATTTTAAAATTGATTACTTGCAATTCAAGAAACTATGACAGATTTGATAATGGAAATTGAATCCACTGTTCTTAGTGGGACGATCCTCATTTTTGAATGCATATACTACCACTGCAATTGTTAGCACAGGAACGTAGCAATTTTAATTTTCTATTTTGAGAAAATAAACTAACATGGTTTCACTCAAAATCAGTTACTCAATTATGGTTTTTTAAAAATCAATTACACCCCTATGATTTTTTTTCCATTCAACACCATTCTTAACAGTTAAATATTTGATTGATATCTCCATATTACCCTTGTAAAAAGCATCTCCTATTTCAGCTAAACATCCCATCAGAAATGCTAGAATCTCTGGAAAAGCAAGGAGGTCAAATGTACAATGTAATTTATATTTCCAACCAGTTTAATTCGATCGATTATATTATGTTTGATGCATTGTTTCGTCCTTATAGATTGATTGTGATTCCTCAAAATGCGCTGATGCACATTAATCAAGGTCAAAAAGATTAAAGATCCGAAGTGTTTGATAATTTCTTTTCACTAGTAGTAGTATTGGTGCTTTTCCCAGCCATCTAGTAGTTATGTATAATGGGTCACTGAATTCAACCTATTGTTTTTCTCATTTCATGACAGAAAGAAAGGAAAATAAGAATTTGCAACACAATGGCAGCAATTAATTTCAAGGTTCGAATGCAACTCTCTGCATAACAGAGGATAAGAATTTGAATTATCAAAATCAACATTGCCTAATAGAAGCTTGTTTTTAATTTGCAGAGTCTCCTTTCCCTTTACTCCTACAAAGGATTAATTTTCTTTAGATGAAGCACTTTTTCTTGAGTGTGAAAGATCATACAGCACAAATTCTGTCACCATAGAGCTAGTTATCAAATATTCTGCCTTCTAATTCAAAATATATAAATTATAAGAAAATAACATATATGCTACCATGGATGAATCTTTGTGACAATCATGGGATCCCAAGCCAGTGACATTGCTCTTCTCTTCTTTCTATAACTAATAGAGTGAAAGGTATATAATCAGTTGAAAGCATTACCTTCTCTCAATGTCTTTGCCACAAAGATATCTTTAGGGCATTTTACCTTGAACTCAAAAAAAATGACAGTCCTTGTTTATATTTCAACTTGAGATTAAGGTGCAGATGAACAGGTGAACATGATAGACCTGAATATTGGATATCTCTATTGAAAAACTGGAAAATAATGTCGGTATGCTTTGTTGTGTTAGAGAAATTATTCAGCAAGGATTTCTGACAAGTCTCGTTTCTTGTCTCAGTTAATTTGATCTTAGTAGTTTCTAGCATGCAACTCATTCCCTTTTCAGAGATTCTAGCATTTTTGATGGGATGTTTGTTTATAATTGGAGATGCTTTTAACTAAGGCAAAATGGAGATATTAATCATATTTATAACAATTTTAAGAGTGGACTTGGATGGAAAAAACTATGAGGAGTTAAATGATAAAAAATAAACCATCAAGGGGTAAGTGATTTTAGATGAAACCATAGGGGTTTTTTGAACTTCTATCTTGAATTAAATAGTCATACTGGTTCCCTATGCTCTTGTTCTCACAGGGAATCAACCATTGCAAAATGACACCCCAATTCATAGTTGGCATCATTTAACACACAAATGAGACAAAATTTAAAATACTTCGGCTTCAAGCAACAATGATTAAAAAATAAACGGTTTTGATGAACTAATAAAATTGTAACCCACAAATAAACCGTTCATTAATTACGTAGGAGTCTGCCTAGAGTAAATTCATACATAAATGACACAAGTTTATATTTCCTCATATCCTAGTTCAGCATCCAAACTTGCTTCAGCTTCCACCGAGTCTTTTATAGCGATTTCAATCTTTTCCTTCAGCCTCTTCTTTTCCATCTTTAGAGCTTCCACATTCAGCTTCCTCTTTTCCACCAGCTTAGCTCTCTCAATATAGCTTTTCGTATCTAAAGCAGATTGAACATGGGGTTCCAGCCAAGCCAATTCGAACTTACATATCTCAAGTTCCTCCCATAAAATTTGAAGATGCTTACAAGCATCATCATTCATATCTTTCACCTTTTTGGTCTTCAAAAAATGCAGAACTCGTCCTAAAGCTGTGAATGCCCATTCAATAAACTTACGAGTCCTCTTCTGCAGGCATTGAATAAGTGAGGGATGTCGTGAACATACTTCTTCTAATAGTGGAACAAATGCTTTTTCTATTTTTGCTAAACCCCTGAAATCTATGAGCTCACCATATGAGGCAGAGTATATTTCCTCGTTTAAATTATTATCACTACTCTCTATTCGCTCAGCACAAACTCGTGGAGAATCTGCTCTAGCATCAGTTTTGCTAACAGCTAATTGATCTACTTGTTTTTCATCTTCTGACTTGTTGACAGAAAACTCAACTTTGATTATACAAGTATCATTCACGATAAACCCACGGCTGGAATCCCAAAGTTCAACTAAAGGTATGAAAGATTCGATACCCCAGTCAATCTCTCTTGCATTGAAGTTGTGTTTAAGTTCTGAAAAGTGGATACATCAAGACTCAATTGTGTTGGAATAAAAGTAAAATGATAAGATGAATTAAAGGTACACAATGGTTCCGTACATGTTGCCAATTAAATGAAATAAATCAAATGACTTAACCGTCACACTAAGCCTACATGTAGGATACAACACCATGGAGTACGTACTCTTTTATTAAAAGTAAAAAAGAGTGATGGTTTTCAAAAAAATAATTATAAAAAAGAAGGATAAAATAATAAAAAATATATATTATATTTTTCAAATTAAGAAAATTATGCACCAAGTCTTTTTCGAAACTCCTGTAGTACTGAAGATATTTGCCAGGTCAGGGTATAAATGATATAGAGCTCATAGTATGATTGGAAAGCGGAAGCTTTTGTAGTAGCTTTACTCAATTAATTAGAAACTAGTAATGTTCTTATAATATTAACATACATCTAAAACAAACGATTTTTTTTTTTTTTTTGTATATATAAAACAAACGATTTTGTCATGCATATTTCTACCGGTTTAATAAAGTATTTAATCATAGTCATGAGAGAGTCAAACGAGTATAAGAAACACATTATTATTATTTTTTTTTTTGCATACAAGTAGGAATTGAATAGAACCTATCTAAATCCCTCACCACTGGATCAATTCTAATGGATTAAGAAACACATTTTTAATTCACAAAAAAATAATATAGCAAAAACAAGCAACACGAAAAGGAGGGAAGGGGAGAGAGAAATATGAAAAATACGTTTTGTAATTGTCATTGTGCCATTGATCTGATTAATTAGAGCCAACTTGAACTTAACAAATTTGTTCCAATCAGAAGGCAAATGATCAAGATCTCCAGCATCCAAAAAAATTGACAAGGAGTCTACTTCGTTCCCTTTTGGAAACATAAGAATCCGCCTAAAAGAAAAGACCAAAACATAAAAAAAAATTGCACAGATGAAATCTTCATGTCAAACAACACAAACATGTATATAGTAAACAGGAATTCATGCGAGCACCATGAATGGCCGCAGAGGAAGAAATTCGCAGAGTATATTTTCCTAGACTCGAATTTAGAGAAGTTCTGAATCGTCCATGTGAACTTCTCCAACGTTTTATCCCTTGTGTTTTTATTCTCCATTTCTACAACCTGAAGCCACCAGTACACTAACATTAAGGAGGAAAAAAGATAGAGTTTTATTTTGTGAATGAAAGATCAAGAATTGGCAGAAAAAACAAAGTACCTTCGGATGAATATGTGACAAGCAGAGAGAGAAAGAGACAAAGTCAAAGTGAGAGTTATGCTAAGACATGGTCGGCCGGGTTGTTACTTATACTTAAAATTCTTAATACAAAACTGAGAAAGATTAAGAGACAACCTGGGTATACAACTAAAACGACTTGCAACCGTAACCCCAAACACAACTCCTTGAATATATTCTGGTAATTAATTATTATTTTTTTGTAATAATTCTGATAATTTATTTGATATTATAACTCTTTCAAATACACACGTTGATCATCGTGCATACCTAAAAAGCTATCCACATTCTCCAAGTATATATTAGCCTCTAGTTTCAATGATTCACTAAATAGGATAGGAAATTGTGTTAATTAATATATAATTGCAAGTGATACTTGAATGAATTAAATGCAATTAGGTAAATACATTGTCCATTGAATAAAGTTGTTAAGTAACGTTTAATATTTATGGCTCTGATTCGAGTATTTAACCGTGTTTGTCTTTAGGTCGTACTAGAAGCGTCGTGTATATATTGCTCAATACTATGCAATATGCTTAAAAAGTTTTTACCGTGTGTTTTCTGATTAAATAACTTTATCTAATGTTTATCAAAACGACGTCGTTTTGAGATGGAAATGATCATGATATTTTTGTAATTTTAATTTATTTCAGGATTATAATAGTCTTTATCACTCTAATTTTTTAATTTTTCAACCCTAAAATGACATCCTTTCGATGAACATTAGATAAAATTATCTAAAGTAACATCGGAAACTTTTTTCCCTTCATGTAAATGAAAATATTTAGTTAAGTGAATCTTTTGAGTTTCTATATACTAAATGTCATTTAAAAATATTCAATTCAGTCGTTAGTTAAGGGACTATAATATAATATTTGGTAATTAAAGGAGATTGGTTCAAATGGAACATCTCTAATTCTATTTAAGCAAGATCTTAGGCTCAGGTTCTGTAAATGTAAAAATAAAATAAAATTGGGAGTGCTACTCCTACCATAATATGGATGTTCCCAGCTCGAACAAGATTACCTTCCGTGAAGGATATATATAATTTATTTTAAAAATATATATAATATTTGGCAAATACAATTTTAATTATGGAATACATTACCATTGGAGTTTATTCATTCAACATTCTCGGAAAAATTGACTTTGGAAGCGCCTATTTCGATCCTCTCATTTTTAGCTTCTTTTCTTCTTACAAGCAAAAGTTAGGTCAAACAGGTTTTGGAAAAAACTCATTTTTTATAATTAGGTCAAACAGGTTTTGGAAAAAACTCATTTTTTATAATGAAGAAAAAAGCCAACAACTTTTTTTTTTATATAACGAAGAGCCATATATAGAGATAGAGAAAAAGAGAGATATTTTCTTGAAATGTATACTTTTAAGTTAAAAAAGAGATGATGCAAACGGTGCTATGTCCAAAGTCTAACTCGGCACAATATTTTCTTTAGGGGGTGTTTGGTTGAAGGTTTTTGAGAAGAATGATAGGGAAATGTGAAGTGGGGAAATTGGGTGCCCATGTTTGGTTGACAAGCTTTCGAATTTGCCCACCTAAATGAGTTTACTAGGTATCCCATTTGCATGGCTATTTGGATCAAAATTGATGGACAAATATTCCCACTTTAGATGTGGTATTCCCCCCATTTGCATGGCTATTTGGGATTTTGTTGGTTGTTTTTTTTTTTCCATCTATATTTTACCTACAACCAAACATAGACTTTCTAAAAGTTATCTAATTTTCCCAGTTAAATTTTTTCCTACCAAACAACTTTTTTTTATATTTTCCTACCAAACTCACTTTCCTATCATTTCCTACCATTTTCCTATGAATATCATTTCTCTATCATTCATAAAAAATTTCCTCAACCAAACGCCCCCTTAGGAAAGTAGCATGTAATAAAATAAAAAATAATGTATAAGCATTGAGCCATCTTTATACACCTTCACATTAACAAACTCATTGAATACCGTGTTTTGTGTGCAAAACTATTGAACATCGCTAATGAGTCACCAAGCGTTCAAAGCTTTAAACCAAATAAAAGAGAGAAATTGAGAGAGAAAAAATAGAAAGAGAGAAATTGAGAGAGAAAAAATAGAAAGAGAGAAATAGAAAAAGGAAATTGAAGAGAAAAAAATAATAGAAAGATCATAAAGTACGAGAATATCACTAAAGTTCTAAATTCACAAGACTCAGTTTTTATATAATTTCGCTATCTGCTTGATTCTTTTTCTTTTTCTTTTTCTTTTTGGCTTGCTGTATACAGGTATCATTCACAATATACCCCCTTCTTAGAATCACAAAATTCACCTAAAGATATGAATGATGCAGTCTCGGAGTTAGGGAAAAGACATAATAACTAGTACCAGAAAATCTAACTAGCTAATAAAATCTAGCTAGTGCTAATGATATATATATTACTTTTAAAAACTTAATTAATACCAAGATAATAGCATACTTTTTATAATACCCCTAACCTGATTAATTAGTAAATTATACATAGTTAAGTAATTAAGTTAGTATAAGTGGGTTGAATTAAATAAAAGACCTAATTAAATGAATTAAGGTCATTTTTTAAGTAAAAAATGCAGTCAGTAAAATTAATGGGTAAAATATGTGTAGGAAAAAGTACCCAAAATATAAAGGTAAAAGTAAAAATATTGCTAGAAAAATATTCCAAACCTATGGGTAAAGTTTGAAAGTGAACAGAGTAAATTACATAGATAAACTTTCACCCAGTTAAAATGACCTTCCTTAGTTTAGTGGCAAAACATGAAAAAGCTCCTCATTTTCTTCTTCTTCTTCTTCGACGCTTCACAAAGGGATAGAAAACCATTGAAGCCAAAACCCTAACTCCCTTGATTCTTGTAAGAACTCGCACCGTTAATAAGGATTTTTAAATAATTAATTATGAGTTTAGGAAATAAATCCATAATTGACCTGGAATAATTATGAGAAGACTTAAATAATTATTATAATGGCTTAATAACGCTGAAAGTCACTTTTCTGATGAAAAGTGCAGATATCGGTTCTGCTTCACGATATTAGTGTGCACCGGTGAAGTATACCGAAAAATTATAATAAGCATATGAATATTCCTAGAATAATATTTAAGTCAAGAATGTCAAGTTTGAAGTCATAATAATAAGTATTGGTGTCAGAACCAATACCAACTGCGTGTAAACGCGTATCAGAAAAGTGTTGCAAAAAATTATAATAAAAATATGACAAATCTTAGAAAAATGACATCGTTCAGAATATGAAGTTTGGGATTAAAATGATAAGCGGAGCTATTAGCACTAATACCAACAGATTAAACTAAAGTGTACTATAAATACTAAATGCACACTTCTCTAGGTCAGAATTGGCACTCAACGTGGGTTTTCTGGTGCATTTTGGCTGTCACCCTCTCCACCTCACTCCATAGCTTTTCTTCACGAAGCTCCTTTCTTCGTAGTTCCTTCACCAAAACACCTTAACTAAGTGTGAGCTTGCATTGTGAGGGTGACAGGCCTTCCATTTCTAATTTTTTGGTTGCTGTTTGGTGAGAGTTGGGGCTGAGTTCTTGGGTTCTTGTTGGAGAAGCCATTTACATGCCATTTGTGATTTCAAGAAGCCACATTTGAAGAAAACAGACCTAGCTTGGTGATCAATTTCGTGGCTCCACATTGACAGTAGTGTGGAGTGGTATTTAAGGTCCCAAGTCACCTCCTTGTTTCTGAGTTCTTGAGCCCATAGGTATACCATGATCATTTTCCTTGAAATCTGTAAGAACCCGCACCGTTAATTAAGGAAGTTACTTAATTAATTATGTGAAATTAGGAAATAATTTCATAATTGACCCTAATAATTATTATGAGACTCTAATAATTATAGTAAGTGAGTAAGGATGCTGAAAGTCGCTTTTCGAAAGAAAAGTGCAGATACCGGTTCTGCTAGTCGGTATAAATGCGTACCGAAAAGTATCCCAGAAAATTATAATAAGTGCATGATAATTACTAGAATAATATGTAGGACTTTTAAAACGAGTTTCAAGTCAAAATAATAAGAACTGGTGCTAGAAACTGGTACTGGCTATGAAAAACGCGTACCGAAAAGTTGCTCCGAAAATTATAAGAAAAATATGATAATTCTTGTAAAATGGAGTAGGTTAAGAATCCTGAGTTTGGGATTAAAATGTTAAGAGTAGCAATTAAAGTTAATATTGTGTGTTAAAGGCTTAAGTGACTATAAATGCAACTTATGCACAAAATCCTAGGCCATATTGGCTTCCTACGTGAATGTTGTGAAACCAATGCGCTTAATATGAAGAATTCAATCATACAAGAGTTTTGATGATAACAAACAAGCATAGAAGCGATGTTAAGGATAATACAACTCGCAACAATCAAAAGCCCAAGGAAGCAATTCAAACAAGTCAACAAGAGCAAATCAGTCAACACACAAGATCATCATTGATTCATGCTCTTGAGAGCCTAGATCTAAATGTAAAGGTAATTGATAAATGATGCATAAAAGAGCTCAAAGGGTAATTAACTTTATGCATGTAATATCCATATCATCTATCACTTGAAAGCATTAATTGTTATGAAAAATATCCTTGACATGTTTTAATAAACTTCAAAACATTTTGTTAAAGTCAAGGAAATACATTGAAAGTGATTAGAGACCAAAAGGAACACTTTACAACTCATAAAACTGCATAATTAAAGAAAGTATTCGAATACTCCATTGCCTGTATTCGAATACTTATGCTGAGAACAAAGTATTCGAATACCGTGAGAAAAGTATTCGAATACCAGTTGAAGTATTCGAATACCTCACGAATAGTATTCGAATAGTTACTGGTCGGTAAGCAGTATAACGGCTATAAACAGCTA